ATTTATCAGAGCCATTTTCCAGGTCCCACCTCCAAGTAGAGCTGTAAAATAGTGGGGCCACTAACAGAGACCTGCCCTTTGTGAAGAGAGGAGAAGAGGATTCTCACAGAAGACTGATCCTCTGAAACACTGGGGGCTCCTCTCTGATTCCTCCAGCCTTGGGGCATCAAGGACAACTGCAGAGACAATGGGAGTCACCAGAAACCTAGCAAACTTTCACTTACAGGGCAAAAGGAGATATTGAGTATATCATCAGAAGGAAGTCTACCCACCTGGAGTCAAGTCAAGGTTCCATACACTAAGGAAGAAGTTATGCTATGAAATGCACAGAGTCCTATGTCTCCTGAGAATCTCTTTATGGTAATACTAGCTGCTTTAACCTGTACATCTGCAATGCGTGTCTCTGAGCACATGTATTGGTCTTATGTTCTTCATTCTCCTTTGTTTCAACTTGTAGATTGGATGAGTTCAACTCGTTATCCTTATAATGACCCTGTGTTCATGGTCAGACCTTGGGACTATCATCTGAGAAATAGGACTAAGTTCATTTTTTCCTTGGGATTTGTATCATTTCTCATTTACATAGGATGACATAACATTTGTGTTCTTATTAAATGGAGAACACGGGCTTACTTTTACAAGGTACCAGAGCTTCTAATCATGTGGGTCTCTTTTCAAACTATTCTCTAGAGTTTTCTATTCAATATAATAATGTAACCAGTAGTATTAGACACAGTTTGGATCCATTTTTGGTGGCAGAGTATTGCACACAATGTTTTCATTGTCCTAATATTATAAGCCGTTTGCTTATAGGATATTCACACATCAAATAACAATTAGATTTATCCACAACATCTTAAATCAAAACCACTCTAGGTATCTTGGGTTTAAAAAAGATTTTAAAAGGGGGAGATGTTGGGGGACAATCCTGTGTGAGAACGTTGTTGAGTGCTTGTGAGAAACCTCCAAGAAACCAAGATAAGAGTCTTGTGATGTCAGTTTATTCAAGAACACAGAATTGTTCTCAGATTTTGCTTTTGTGCCCTTCCCAGGTGTATTGGATAGGAGTGAGTTTACTTCATATTATTCTTTACAACTGGCTATTGTTATTTGTTCATGTGTCCCTATGAAAAAGCATATTTCTGCTCCGTGTGGCTTGCCTTTGTGAGTGCACACTCTGTGAAGCTGCTTAACTTTCAGAGTGTGAATTGTCTGATGATCTGAATGACACTGGCTATTGCATGAGACTTTAGTCCATCTCATTTACCGACTCCATTTTCCCAGGTCTCACCATCACTAGAGTGGTAAATAGTACTTCACTATGGCCATCTAAAATATACAAAAAATGAGGTAGTTTTTTATAAAGGTATTGTATTTAGTTTTTCATTATTTTTATTTCGGAATATTGTTTATAATAATGATCTTATTTTTCCTAGAGATTAATTGTTTAATAATCTTTGAGTGACTTTTTAAATTTCTTAGAATTTGATAGTGTTTATATTCCAAAGACTTGATTAAAATAACAGATTTTCACTTTATTTTTAAGTAAAAATCTGAAACAATAAAGAAATGTAAATATTTTCATTAGGTGGTAAAATAGGAAATAAGCATGCTGTAAGGGTTAGGCAAGGGAATCAACATTCATTCTCCTCAAGTTTCAATAATACTAGTTATTTATCTGCTTGTTCGTAGATATGCATTTTCTAATAATTTGATTTCTTTCTTAGTTTTTTTAAATTTCAGTAGCAAGGAAAAGAGCATAAAATGCAAAGGCTATCCTATATGAATTTGTTGCCACTAAAAAGGAATATTTTGTATCTGTATAAAACTACTGGTTTCAATTGACAGCTAGCAGAGAACAGTGTATATTATTCATATCAAGCTTAAAAATATTTACAAGCTACATAGTATGGGTTTAAAGTGCTAGAAATTAAAAACTTCAATGAATTTGGATACAGAGCTTTAAACATGACCTTTTTGTGACTGATTCCTTTTTCTGTATCTATTCACCTCTATTTGTTCTACATTTTCTTCTACTGTATCACTTGTGTTGAACCAGTGGTAGTGTGAACAAGTTTGTTGACATGATTTGTCCTTCTGCAGTATAGGTGCTGTCTCTGTGAAAGCTGACCAGTGTTTGGCAAACACTTGAATAAATAGATTGTTTGAAAGTGAGGGTGGTATGCTCATATACATACACATATATACATATACATGTATGCAAAACCGGTAGTTCTTAGTGTGTGTGTGTGTGAATGTGTGTGCTGTTGTTTGTGTGGTGTCTTATGTTTTCGAGACAGGATCTCTCATTGAATCTGGAGCTCATTGATTAGGCTGGCGAGTGAGTGGGCTCCAGGAATCCATCTGTCTCCGATTTCCCTCTTCCCACAGTGCCCGGATTACGAAAGTGCTTCCACATCCAGCCTTTCATGTGGGTCCTGGGGAACTTGGGGTCAGTGCCTCATGCTTGTACAGTGTGCACTTTACCAACCGAGATCCCTGCTCTGTGCTTAGAGTTTGATTTCCTGCCTGTCTTTTCTCCTTTCCTCCTCAATCTTCTCTCTCTCTCTCTTCCTTTCTTCCTCTTCATCCCTCCTTTTTTCCCTCTCTTCTTGCCACACTAAACTTTCCCATGCTTATATCCCTATAAAGACTGCAACAAAGCCGTGAAGACGCCACCAGAGATGCACCTAGGTAGCTGTGATGGGAGAGGCTCAAGGATGAATCAGTCAAATGTCCTGTTTATATGAGGCATCTGAGGAGAGTCTCAGGACTATATGTAATATTTCCTCAATATTATTTGATCTGGGAATTTGGAATATAAAATGGAATATCAATGATGAATAAGGGATATAAAATACTTTTTAATAATAATGTGAATTCTCAATATTTTTCTACCTCTGTGAAATCACACTACTTAAAAGCAACAATTCAGTAATTTGAGGATCAGCTAGCCAGTTTAATAATTGAAGTACAAATGGCTCATAACAGTTTGTGAGAGTTTCAACTCCTTTAATTCCTCTGGGTTATTACAAATAAAGTTTAAAATGAAAAAGAAATCTAGTATTTCATGTGTGTAATGAAGGGTCTCTACCTTCATGGTTCCTTCCTGTGCTATGAAGTTTATGTTTGTATTAGAAAGGACAACTAAAACTACCACAGGCCCCTGGAGGTGGTTCCCAGGGCTCTGTAACTTGAAACTTCAGCATGAGTGCTGTAAGGAAGGGAGAAGAACGAGGAAATTGTGGGGATGGTTATTTGGACAACTTTAGAATAAATTCATAAATGAATGAATTTAAATGAGGATGACCTCACAATGCTGTGACCCAAGCCATATTTCAGTGTTATTTGGACTAGTGAATACAGGCATGGTATCACTTGAAAGCCTTAAGCAATCCTTCCAGGGAAGCCTAGACTTTCTAAGAATACGAATTTACCAATTGAAATGAAGAGGACTATCAAGACATCTGGAAAATATCCAAAAGTGTATGAAATCATTTGAATAGCTCAGGTAACTAGGGCTAGGTGCCTTTTTAAATTTTAACAGACCACATGGGATTTTGAGGGTTGGGCTACAGGAATTTTTCTTGTTTAAATAACTTACTCTAATATGAATTTGTTTATAAATGTCAGTGTGTTTTTGAAATAATATTTTCATTCATTGGGTTTCACATACACTAGCTGGATTGCATGGTTTATAATATACCTTGAGTAGATCTTGTAAGTTTAAAGCATAGTTATACAAGGACTATTTTATATGAGATTTAAAGTTGCTATTGCTAATGATTCAGCATTACCATTTGTGTTGAGTTCTGTAACTGGAAGTTAAAGGATGTTATTCTTCATCTTCAATCTCAGTGTGTGAAAACGTTTCAGACTTTGGGCAGGAGCTTTGATTCTAATACATACATTAAGGAGACAGCTGAGTCAGCAGCTTGCAAAGGAGAATTTATGATTATATAATTTCTTTTTATGCTTCAACAGTGAAAAAATAAAGCTGCTGAAAGCAAACAAAACTGAAAAAGATGTTCCTAAAACACTCAGAGACATATTAATTAGAAATTCTATTCTGGACTTCCAAAACATTTATAGGACAATATTGACCAGATTTATATTATCAAATGACCTTTACAAGTCTTGGTTTTCAACAGCAATCATAGTTCTCCGAAGCCACACTTCTTTTGACCTTGAAATTCTAACCAGCTGTTTAATGTCTTTTAGCAAACTTATAATGCCTCTGGCTTCCTAATTGAACTTATCTAAAATTAATAAGAGTGCATATATTTAAACTCTTACATTGTGTAATTCTTACTATAACTATTTAGCATCCAAGGGCAGGTGAGATCCTTGATCCTTGGCCTTGATCCTTGGCCTGCCTTTCCTTATTGCATAAGTCTTCAGCTTTCTTTTTGCAGGATGTCCCTCAACAGACGCTTAGACTGACTAAAGAGCTGCATTATACTGCAGCCGCTAGCCCTGCTACAGCTCTCTGGCTGAGGATTCAGCTGAGCTCAACAGAAATAGGCAGGGCCAGAATACTGGTCCATGGGAATGAAGGCTTTACCCAGAAACTAACAGAAGCTAGGGGTAAGCTACTCTAGTTCCCTCATTTGCAATACTTCTCTCTATCATTAAGCAACTATTGTGACAGAAGGACCTTACATCATAAATTCCTCTGCCTTGTGGCTGCCTCCTTCCCATTTGCTTTAACATGAACTTCCCACACTCCATTCTACTTGAAGATATCAATTGCAGTTAACTGCACCAGCTCCCTACAGTCAGCTGTTCTTAAAATGCTCAACTTCAACTGTTCCTGAGTTATAATGAATGCCCCTCCCACCATGTATAAGCATCCCCTCCACCAGAAACATGTTTACTAATTAGCAGAAAAGGAAAGGAAAAGTTCATGCAGCAGGACAGAAAGAACAAGCATCTTGCATCCCACTGTCAATCACTGGCATTCCATGGGATGCTCACTTGAGAACTTGTGCTTTTCTTACCTTGGATGTGAATGATTCTGTCTTGATCCGGAGTGTAGCTGTCTGGAAGGTGATCAGCCCAGCAGACTGAGAGCAGCACCAGGAGAAGGAGCCTCTTCATCCTTGTAGCTCAGACCCTTCTCCACTCTGAGGATCATACAAAGAGGCTTGAGAAATTTGGCACCCTTTGGAGTGTTGCACTGCACAAATTATTACCGCCTTATCATCGTAGAATGGGTCTGTAAAAATATTTAACCCAATCTGTTCAGAAAGTTCCTCTGGCAGCCTTTGAGAGCTGATGACCGAGCTTTGAAACATTTCAGTTCCTGTTAGGCAGCCAGAGTCCAAACAGTGTTTAACTCTGTCTTTGCAGAATTGTGGATCTGGAAATTTAAAAGACTGTGTTTTTGGCTCAAAGACTTACAGAGAGATAGAAGGAGCTTTAGTACGGAGGCAAGCACTCTCTTAAAACATTAACCCCCTGTGTTTGCAGTATAAGTTAACCAAGGAGCAATTTGGCACATGTATTTATGAATATTTATGACAGCCAGCCTCATTAAGAACTGAATCTTAGACCAGAGCAAATACGGGATATTGCATGAGCCCCGACACTTTTCACTGCACACGTGGCTTCCTAAGCAGGTTAATTTGCTTCTTCCAGATAGAAAAGAGGATGAAAAATCAAAACCAAAACCAACAATCAGTCTTTGCTAAGCAGCCCCTTCACTAGAGGCACTTACCATCTTACACACTGGGGGCTAGGGTGAAGAGTTGGAAATTTGGACAACCAGATTAGGTCTGTGCAAGATACACCGCTGCAGTCACACAGATTGATTTCCATTCACTCCGAGCTAAAGTGCTGACACACTAACTTGGAGTGTCAGGTAGGGTCTCTGCAGTCAGCAGAGCCCTGCGGGGAATGTCCCTGCCAGGCTCATGGGGCGATTAGGCAAATGAGGAGCTGAAATAAAAAGGGAGACCAAGCTCTGATCCTGAGCAAAAGAGGCAGAGCCATCCCTTGCCTGTCCTTTATCAAAGACTGACTCCATAGGAGAGGACAGAAAAGCACTTCCCCTGAAACTTTCTCAGTCGAAGGACCAAAAAGTAATTTCAAGCAATACAAACCTTTCATCATTTGCAGTATTGCAGGGAAGAATTTCAGTGTAGTTTCTGTTCTAGTGTAAAAGCTGAGGCAAACATCAAGAAGGACTTTCTTTTGCTCCCCTGCACACAGCAGCCTTAATAACACTGGCTATTTTTAAAACTGAAATTGCAGAGTTCTGGCTTCTCATACTAATTTGTTTTTTTCCAGGAAAGCCTGGCTCCCTGGAATACTTATATTAATGAGTTTCCTGACTGCTCCTGGAGGTCCTTGAGGGAGAAGCGTACTCCATAGCCCGATGCCCCCACCCGACTGTCTCCTGCTTCTCTAGGAATTCCCCAGGTCTCTCTGGGACTGAAAGCACACCTCTCTGCTGTTCTATTAAGAAACTGGGTGGGGGTGGTGAAGCATGCCTTTAATCCCACCTCTAGGGAGGCAGAGGCAGGCAGATCTCTGTGAGTTCGAGGCCAGCCTGGTCTACAAGAGCTAGTTCCAAAGCCCTGTCTCAAAAAAATCAAAAAGAAAAAAGAAGAAACTGCCATTGCTATTGCTGTGCTGCTCTGGGTTTAGTCTTTCGTATGTGTTAACATTTCTTTTCTTCTTTATGTCACACACAAGAAGAAGATGGTGACTATGCAGCTCATTTGTATTGGGAACCAGGTGTGGTCTCTTTAATATTCTACCTTATTTACTAATCTTATTTTCAGAACTTTGTTTCCCCGAGGATTTTGTAAAATTTATTTTTGTACCTATGACTTTGTCCAGATGATTAAAGCTAATGAATATTTCTCACTTTCAACCTAAAACTGTGCTTTAGGTGTAAATAATTAGAAGATAGGCAACTTTATGTCTGTAACTTTTAATATTGAGATAATTATACAGATATGAAGCAATAATCAAGCACTACTAGAGGTATGCTGTGCTCTCTGCTTGCTCTAGGAGTCGGGGGAGAGGTTGTAACGTGAAATAGACAATATGAAAAGAAGAATGTAATTTTAACAAACAAAAATGAAAGGCATTCTAGAAGACTGGTAAATGAGCAAAGGTAGAGAATGTGCTAGATTAAATTCTATATCACTGCGATCAATCACATATAGTTTAATTCACTGGATGCTATAAATATATGCTAAAAATATAAATGGTCAATTCAATCACCTAGTTACCTAAAATCATTTTACCTAAAATCATACATATATTTAATATCTAGATAGATATATAGGTAAGTAGATAGACACACCAAAAATAGAAGATAGATAGATAGATAGATAGATAGATAGATAGATAGATGGAGGGAGGGGGAGTATAACTCCTTTAATTCCACATCTCTATATTCAAACATATCACTAAAGGTGCATTGCACTAAATTAAGTTAGTTCTGTAATGCCAATATGATGAGAGCATCTTTCTCTGTCCCTCCCTCCTGTTTCTCTCTCTGTAGGGGACAAAGATTGTAGTAATGATGATGATGATGTTAATAATTAATTTCAATTTATTTTAATTACTTTTTCTTCCTTGCTGAGTAATATGCCATGTACATTGCCCACTGGGGCTAATGTTGTGAAACAAATATATCCACTTTCCTGCTGTAGTAAGTTCTCATGTTCAAAGTTATTAATCTAGTAGGTGATTTACTTTTAAGCAAAAGTATTTCCTACTTTTAGTTGTTTTTATTTTTTGTGATGGAGACATATTTGCTGTTTTTCTTATCTTTTTAAATGTATGCATGCTGCTTTGAAACAACAATGATTTTAACATTTGAGTTCTGCTATATGTGAATATACACGATAAATGATACACGGTCTGGGGGGGGCGCATATTCCCCTGACTCATTTATGATGTAGACCTGATGACATGAATCTACTTGGTGGCCCATAGGAGGCATATACAGATATGTATGCAATCTTTGAAAAGAGCATAGGTGTGACTTGTCTTTATAGACAAATGAAGACTCCAAAGTGACCACACTGGTATTAATCCAATTCAGACAGAAACAAGGAAATTATCTGTTTTTTAAATCACAGGAGAATATCACCATTTTAATTATCATGAAATTAGAAATAATAATCAGAAAAGGGAAATTTAGGGGCTCGATTTTTAGGAATAGGAGGAAATTGCAAACAGAGCAGATTCTTTGCCTTTTGGGTATATTTGCTATACCAAGGTACCAAGGGTCTGCATGCTGGTCCCCAAAGCTGAGGTGAACTCAGACATTGGTGGTCATGAGAGTTAATGTATGGATGAATCTGCCTCGTGTTTTTAATGACATCTTCTCTGAATATTCATGTGTGTTAAGTGAAATTTTCTGGTTCTTGATGTGAGTAAAATTCAGAAAATTAGGGATACTTTTATGTAATCAACTTATTAACAGCGCCTGAATTAGAAATCAGACTTCACTAGAAAACTCACACATTTGACAGCCTTTTGAAAAGCGGATTTGATTTTGTGTGTGTCTGTATTTGTTTGTGTAGTGTGTGCATGTGTGTGTGTGTGTGTGTGTAGTGTGTGCGTTGTGTGTGTGTCAGAGACTGACACCCAATGCCTTTGAATTCTGTTCATCTAACTACATGAGACAGTCTCTCAGTGAACCTGGAAGTCATTGGGAGACTAGACTAGTAGACCAATGAGTTCCAGGGACCTGCTTCTCTGTCTCCCCATGGTTGGGATTATAGATGTGTGCTGTCTTGCTTGACTCGAGACGTGGGTAATTGGCATCTGAACTCAGGTCCTTTCTTGTTCTTTCATGATGAGTATTTATCAATAGCGTCACTTCACCCATTCTGGTTGTCACCAAGCCTTCCAAGTCTTGCTGCTATGATGTTTGCGGTAGTTTGAATGTAATTGCCCACTATAAGCGAATGGGAGTAGCACTATTAGGAGGTGTGGCTTTGTTGGAATGGATATGATCTTGCTGGAGGAAGAGTGTCACTGGGGGAAGGCTTTGAGGTTTCCTATGCTTAGGATACCACTCAGTGTCTCAGTCTGCTGCCTGTTGCTTGAAAAATGGGTTAAAAATGGACTCTCAGCTACCTCTCCAGCACCACATCTGCCTGACAACGCCATATTTGCCACCATCATGATAATGGACTGAACCTCTGAACTGTAAGCCACCACCTCAATTAAATGTTTTCCTTTACAAGAATTATAGTGTTATGAGACACAATATAGCAGTGTTAAGAGAAAAGTTCAAAGCAGTAAATGTCTACATAAAGAATCTGAAAAAAAATCCCACACTAGTGAGTTAACAGAACACCTGAAATCTCAGTTTTAGGAATAGAAATTTTTGAGTTGTTGACTAATGGGTTCCATAGATTACAAATATTATAGGATATTGCCAAAGCTCATCGTTACCATAACTTGATGGTAAGACCCTATTCCTGAAGACATCATATAGTTGATTAAGCTGGTACTGACCTAGAAGTTTCACTCTTATTGATGGAGGTACTGTGCACACTATTGGGCCAGAAAAGCAGTCATCAATGTCACGTAGCTGTGAAGCTCGTGAGGTACACAAAGTATGTCCATAGCACAATAGTGGCACGAATGCTATGGGAGTGATCGGTTTCTGGTTGGATGTCAGGCCTCCTCCCTGCGATGAAACTCAAGCTCTAAAGGAGAACCTAATACTAGTATTCTGCTAAATGGACAAAGTAGTAACATTACTCCTATGACTTATTGTTCTATCCATTTAACAAATCCTCCAGGGAACTGCTTTTTGCAGCAGATGACAATTTACACAAAGAACTTCAACTGGTCAGCATGTAAGAGAATAAAAACCCATGGTCTGCTAACTCCTAAGTCGGGGAGCACGTATCACACCTGTCCTCCAAGGCTCAGGGATCCTCAGGGAAGAAAGGGAGGAAAGATTATAAGGGCTAGAGGAAGCGGACAACTTCCTCTAGTGTTTTCCATACCTAACGGCTGCTGAACAAACACACTTGTAGCAGTTTTGAGAGCACGCACAAGACCTGTGCGTATTTATGCCAGAAAAAACATTCCCTGTATGGATAGGGGAGATGGGTAAGGAATTCTACCAGTACCCGAGTAACTACTGGCATTTAACATCTGCTGGGAGTAGAAGAGCTGGTTTACTTTAATGGTGTGACCTCTGGCAGCCTGACCACTCTACAGGGAAAACCCCACTCCCAAGAACAAATCAACACACAAATTAGACATGACTGGCTAAAAGAAGGAGAAAACTCAATGTTGGGTAAGTAGGGCAGTAATGGAGCCATAAGTAAAGGATCAAGGAGAGGGTGAAGGAGTAGCAAATATGATCAAAATGCACTGAAGAAATTCTCAATTAATAAAAACATGGGAGGCAGAAGCAGGTGGATCTTTGTGAATTTGAGGCCACGCTCCAAAGGTACACAGAGAAATCCTGTCTCAAAAAAAAAAAAAAAGGAAAAACAAAAAGAAAAACAAACAAACAAAAAATAACAAAAACAAAAAGGTCCAGTAGATGACTAATTGGGTAAAGGTATTTTACACCAAGCCTGTTGACCTAACTCTTCCATCCCGGGCCCCATAAGGTAGAAGAAGAGAACTAACTTCTAATAATGTCCTCTAACTTCCACTTCCTACACATGTACCCTCAACATATCCTAATAAAAATATGAGAATAAATGTAATAAAAATAGAAAAATAGGTGGTAAGCATGTAATTTTACAGTTTGGCTTTTGTGATAATTTAACACTATTAGAAAGTAGAATACTCTCTCTAAAGTAAGCGCCTTTTTTAAAAAAAAATCATTGCTATTCCATTCTCTTTTAATTATTCATTCATTTATAAACTTTTTGAGATGGGGTTTTTCTATGTAGCCCTGGTTGTCCTAAAACTCCCTATGTAGATTAGACTGGCCTCAAACTCAGAGAACCATGGGCCTCTATCTCCTGAATGCTGGGGTTAATGGTGAGAGCCACCACCACCTATCCTAAAGTAAAAGTCTAATAGTCAAATAAACAAATATACTAATAACAGCCATCTGATGCTAACATGGGCAATGGCTAAATGTAGGACAGCTTGGAACAGGGTTAAATATCAAGAGGGAAGCCATTTGGGGGGGGGGGCATAAAACTGAAGACCAACAAACAACAACAAACAAGCATATACCTGCTTCCCC